AGCACACGAACCGCTTTAAAACACTTTTCACGTTTACGCTTTGCTTTTATCTATACTGCTTTTACAAAGACATACCACACTTCCGAGGAGTTTTTTTTTTTGTGTCAGAAAGTTATATATAAATGTATGGACCAAAGATACATGTGCACTTGACGTATCATGTTTGGGGATACAAAAAATGTTTACACCATTTTGTTCATCCCCTTCTGTGAAAAAAAAAAAAAGAAAAAATTGAATGCATGCACACATCCCCGACTTCTCGCAATTTCCGGCAAATCAGAAGAAAATTCGACTCACACGGAGTTGCGCGCTTGCAATTGTATTTGCGTTCGCTTTTGTTTTCGTTTTCTTTATCGTCCTTATCATTACCCTTTTCGTTACTCGCTTTGTTACTCGTTTCGGTTCCTTCTCGCTTCCCTTTTATCCCCCTCCGCGCCCCGCTTGCTCCCCCCTTTTCCCATCGCAACCTTTCACATAAAGCCCAAGCATCATTACATTCAGTAGAACAGCCCACTAGGGAACCTAGCGATAGGTCGCGTGGCACACTTGAAACGCTGTCACCCTTCTGCGTATTTCTTTGCGGTCATCTGTCAAGAAGAACTAAAACTATGCACATACGCTCAAGTGCACATATTCTCAAATTCACATATGCTCAAATGCACATGCGCTCAATAGCACATACATACGTGCGTGAAAGGGGTTCGGACTCGTACGTATATTTCCACCCCGCAAATGGGCCAAGAAGGGGATCAGTAGGAACGGTGACAATTTTTTCAATTGTACATTTCGTTAGTTATCACCCATTTTTGCGCACTCGCCATGCGGATAGTGTCGCATAAAAGGCGCAGCAACGTAGCGACGCAACAAAGTAACCATTTGGCGAAACAACGAATACACACTTGCGCATCCAACTCGCACTACATTTAAACGGCTCGCGGTGTAAAGTGACAAATTGCACGCTGCCTATGGCATGCTGCGGCGCGCGAGTTTCCTAATATAGCATTGCCTTAAACTGCAAATTCACGAAACGGCTACGTTGAATATTAACTCAAAAGGATACCACTGAAATGAGCATCAAACATTTTGTGAAAGTTAAAAAAAAAAAAAAAATGCAAAAGCGAAATCGAAAAGGTGCTAAAGTAACAAGGCAAGCGAAGCAACGAGAAATGAACAGAACAGAATGCCCCATGCGTCAAAAATATATAAAATGTGCAAATGTGCGATTTGTTATGTCTACGAAGGGGCCTTCCACTGACTGCTTCTGGATGACCTTTTAAAATTTCTATTTTCACCAGCATACTCAATCGTCTGATGTCTTTTACGATCTTTGGGAAACGATTCGGGCGGTGCTAACGTACCCGACTCGTAAATTTTTTTCACTTGTCTTCTCCAGGGGGTTAAATCGATCTACGTGTACATGATCGGGAGGGAAAGGGAAAAAAATAAAAAAAAAATGTGCACCTATATACGTGGTACAGGTCCAGGTATATTTCATTCGCGAAATGCACAAAACTGTGTATGGGTGGTAAAGTGAATATATATATTTTTTCGTTTGTTTTTTTTTTTTCAAAAAATGAAGTATTCTCACTAGGCGTTAATTTTATTTTTTATATTTTTGCGTGTTTTGCTATGCATCGAGAGGCCCCTATGCAAACACTTCATTCTTTTGTAAAAAAAAAGGCTACCTTTGGAAAGGTCTGTTCCGGTACACTGTTCGGCTTGAACGTTTGCGACGAAATGCCCGAATGCATAAACGGTTTGGTTATATCGGGGGCAAGTTGAACAAGGTTTTCGTCAATTCTTAAGTCAGGGTTTAAATTCATTTTATAATCAGCCAGCAAGTTCGTCAGAGGTAATCTCCATGAATATCTGCATTCACCCATGTGCCACAGTTGCGACCGTGTAGGTGTGATCTTCACATCGCTGCGAACACCATAAATGACATTTTTTTTTGTTATATACGGATTTCTGCCGATATTTTTACATGACTGAATCATTTTCACGCTATCAGGTACTTCATGCTCTAATGTTATGATTGCCTTTTTATATCTCGGCCCATTTCGATAATAATTGAAACGAAAGTCGGTTAAATTTCTTCTCCTCTCCGGCACCTTAATTAATGTATTAACTTTTATAACCTTGGCATTATATATTTTTCTCAAGTATTCTCTAATTTCAAATTTGGTTAAATTAATTGGCACCCTCAGTGCCAGTCTGTTTTTTTCTAGGAAGCTCCCTGACTTGTGTATGCTGAAATTTTGCCACGGGAAAAACACATTTCTTGGGGTTTTGGGGGGGGTATGCCTCACAAAGGTTAGAAACATTATCAGCAGGGGTGAAGGAGTGGCGCTTGTGCTTCTAGTTTGCCCAATGCGCCGTTATATATGCGTGTTATGTGCATAGGTACGTACGTTAGTATGTGCCCTTTTGCGCATGACGAAGGGGGTCAGCTTCTTCAGCGCTAAGGGATAACCATAAATGGGGGGAGTCGCATCTTTCCCCCTCGAATCCCGTAAGTAACCACTCTTACGTTTGCTCTTTTATCCTTTCATATATGTGTAATGAGTCTTTTTTTTTTTTTTTTTATTTTTCATCAACTTGAGCGATGTTTTCGTTCTATGTGCTGACGCCACGTGGTACTATCGATGGAGCGGCGTTTGTGTATTGTGTATCGAAAATGTAAAAAAAAAAAAAAAAGAAAAAAGAAAAAAAATTAAAACATCTTTTTATATAAGTACATTTCGCTATTTCGCACCGTTTGGAGAGTCCCCGGTTCGTGTTACTTTGGCTTTCACAGCCGAGTTTGCAATCCCGTGGAGCGCAAAAAAAAAAATGGTAATTTTGCACAGTGAGAACCGCGGAACCGAAATTTGAAGCGGTGAAGAGGCGGATGTGAGTGAATCGCCTTTGGACCACTTAAAATATTTTACGTAAAGGTTGACATTCACTCCGTGCAGAAGTAGGCTCAAGCGTCAGTGTATTTACGTGTATATCTATGGCACACCAGGCCGAAGCGAATATAGTAAGAGGCAAACGTCGACGTGAACTTAACTGCGTGCGGATGATAATCGGTCTTACGTAAAAAGCCGTGCATAGTTTGTACGGACTCATCTGTGTTTTTTGCTCTTCCCACGTTGCGCCACTCCCGTTGCGTTTTCCCCAAACTAGTACAATGACGACTTGCCACACGTTCAGACCGAAAAATGAACCGACGATGTGCTGTTGGGAATCCTGTTTCCACATGGCCTGTGAGGATCATCATTTTGTTTGAACATACTGCTGTCATGTATTAAGGAGCAGGACTGCATTTTAAGGGATTTTTTTTCATTTTTTCCCATCTGATGAGCGCACCTATCTGGGTGATCTCTTTTGCTTTTCCCGTTCTTCTAGAGTTTTCTCTAAGTAGGACTGTGAAACAACGAATGGGCCTTTACAAAGTGGCCATTACGGGATGGTGAAATGTCTTTAAGTGGAGCGGTTACCCCCGCCTAGTAGAGGCCATTTTAGGGGGATATCCTTTCAATCATTAGCATCGGAATGAAAAACAAGCACATGCGCGTAGATATCCTTATGTGCCCCTATTCATTATCCACGTTTATGTTTGCATGGGCGCTCCTTACGTGGTCCACGTACAGTCTTGCAAGTAGGCACGCCCTGCTTCTGACTGCACCACTCACTGCAACAGTCGCTTGCCATTGCCGCAACATTTCCCAAGGGTCTTCCCCCGAGTTATTACGTCATCATGTGCACATATCCACCTACACGAAAGGATAAGCATTGAGCAGCCCCCAACTCCGCATACACACGGAAATGGGTGCAAATGGCACAAAGATTGGCCACATATTTTAATGGCCAAAAATAACGGCAAACTTTTGCAAATTCGGGCAGCAGGAAAAGTATCATTTTTTGTTCCTTTTGCACAATTTGATCAATTCGAACTTCTGCACACAAGTGGAGCTATTTTTTCCAGAACTGTGTAGAAGGTAAAATGCACATTTAGCGCAGAAGGGGAAAAAAAAAAAAAAAACGAACAGGAACGGAACGAAAAGAAACGAAACAAAAAGATGCGAAACGGAAAGATGCGAAACGGAAAGATACAAAGGGAAACCAAAGGATGCGAAACAAAACGAAAAAAGCTATGCGACGAAATGCCACGCGAAAGATAGCGAAGCGAAAAACCGCTTTTTTTCGCGCTTATGTACAATGTGACCAATTGCAATGCAACGCTATTTTTTCCAAATTCGGTCGTTCCTTTCCCCAACTCTGACACGTTTGCATTAAACGAACGAAACAGAAATACAACTTTTCTTCTTCAACAGAAATAACATCCTAATTTTACCATAACGATTATTTGCCATAAGGGAAAGGTAAATTTCCATTTCGTCCATCTCCCCCATTTTTGTAACTCCAATTTTTATAGTAAGTGTTTAAACGTGGAAAAAGGTGCCCTCATTATTTTACACCCTTCTTTTTTTATCACCACATGGAACAGCTTTACTGCTTTTTGCAGTAGGTACAGACGCGTGTACCCCACCGTAACATGTTTGATTCGCTCCCACTGGAACCTCCAAACACTCGCGGTGTTTCAAACGTTTACCAGAACTTGCCCATCCTCCCTGACTTTAATTCTTTCGCCATAAATTTTGTCCCCAGTAAGCTGAACATCCCCTGAGCGATGTTGCAGGAAAGAATCCTTTTCACGGGGAAAGGCAAACCGTAGTTTCCTTAAATGCAGCTGTGTGGGAATTAAATATGTAGAATTTAAAAAAAAAAAAAAAGAGAGATCCCAAGTGGTAAGCAAAAAAAAAAAAAGAGAAAAAATCATGAACATGCAATGTAATAATATTAGTCCAGCGTGCGAAATTTCGAGCGTAAAGGACTTTTTACGAAACATATGCCTGGACAAAGAGGATAAAATTGTACAGAACCTCGAACTCAGGAATGTAAGAACCGTGTACGATTTTTTAGGACATGTTTCGTACCTGACGATCACCAGTTGCACTGGTATGAGCAATGAGGAAAATGGGGACATAAGTAGCCAATCGAATGTGAAATTTGCAAGTGTGCATGAAAATGGTTTCCAGAATGGGGTCAGCGTAAATGGCAAATTGGCTGAGCATAATGGGAATGGGGGCATCCTGGCAGAGGCGGAGCTGTGTAATGGTCACGCCCCTGCGAGTATGGAAAAAGGCGACAGATGTAATGGGGTGCAGAGGAATGGGCAACAAGCCTGGATCTCACAAGGCGAGGGGATCCTGGCCAACGGAGTGGACAGCAGCGGAATGAATAGCAACGGAATGGGATGCATCCGAATGGGTAGTAGCGGAATGAGAAGCAGCCGAATGGACAACCCCGCTACCAACCGCGAAGCAACCTATGCGTGCAAAGAAACCCAGGCCATACAGGACCACTACGAGCAGGCGAAAGAGAAGCGACCCGAGGTAGAGAAAACGGGGGAGTGCGTCTACTTTGACATGTACATAAAGTCAGAAGTGATTAAAACCTTGCCGACGACGGACAGGGATAAGGAAAGGTTGATAAATTATATCTACAAAGTGATGGACGTAAATGACCTCCTGATGATGTGCATTCATTGCGGTGTCCCCCATTTGTGGCCAAAATTTGAAGAGAACAACATTCGAAATGTAGATTTGTTCAAGCGCATAATCATAGAGGGGAGGAAGTTCGAAAGGGTAAAGAACGAAATGGGAATCTCCTTCTCCGAATTTGTCCAGATCGTCAACTTTGCCTTAAGTGTAAAAAAGAAGAGAATTTTCTGCAACAACATTTTTAGCCAGTTCGATCCATGTGATTGTAAAAATAAAAAAAAACACACCAAAACCATATGCGACAAAATACATCAGTTTATCGAATTTGACAATTGGACGTTTAAGAACATCATTGATAATCCATTTTTCCAAAGATTACGAAATTTATCTCAGTTAGGTGTCTGCCAATTTATCTACCCCGGAGCTACGCACACAAGATTTGAGCACAGCTTAGGAGTTGGCTATTTGTCTGCAAAATATTTCGCTCATTTGTGCAATCGCTATAATTTATCTCCATACAGTGGGGAATTAAACAGAATGCTTCGGTGTGTGCAGATAGCTGGTCTGTGTCACGACTTGGGACATGGCCCGTTTAGTCATACCTTCGAAAGCTTCTTTATGAATTATAAAAAAGAAGACACAGATCATAAATGGCACCATGCATCTATGTCTCTGAAAATTGTTGAACACATTATAGAAGATTTGATAGACCAGGATGATGTGCTGGACTCCACGGATATCAAAATTATTAAGAAGTTAATAAAGGGCAGGGAACACCACAAATCGCTTTGCGGGGTAGATCCAGTAGATTCTTTGATAGAAGCTTCGTACGACATTATATGTAATAATAGGAATGGATTGGATGCAGACAAATTTGATTATCTGCAGCGAGACGCAACTATTGCCCCCCCAAATGGGACGCTTCCATCCCTGAATTGTAATCGAATTATTAGCCAAAGTTCCGTTATTAATGGCCATATAGCTTACAACGTTAAGGAGATCCATCCTGTCTGGACTGTTTATATGAATCGTTTTTCTCTATTCAAACAGGTGTATACGCATAGGAAGGTCCGAGTTATGGAGCTGATGCTGTGTGATGGCTTTCGTCTAGCAAATGATATTTTCAAGTGGTCGGAATCTTTACACGACTTGGATGCTTTTCTAGACCTAACGGATTCGTCTATAATTTACGATATAAAGAACAGAGCGAAGAAACACAAGTACGATGAGAACGTGCAGAAATCGCTAAACCTAATTAACTCCGTTATACATGATAGGAACTCTAACTATGCCTACAAATACATTTCAGAAATTAACCTTTCAGAACCGCAACTCATTAAGTACTTGAAAGACATAGCAAATGAGGAGAGGGTAGCTAGGTATGCCCACGGACTTAGTCCAGATGATATCATCATAGACTGGAACTATTTAAACTACGGAATGGGCACAAACGACCCACTGGATTCGGTTTATTTCTACAGCTCGGATAATGAGGATGAGGCTTTCATAGCGCACAAGGAGTATAGGGGCACGCACCCGAGGTACTTCGAAGAGTGCAACGTGAGGTTATACTGTAAGAATAAAATGGTGGCTCATTTGGCGAAGGACGCGCATAACAAGTTCATGTCGGATGTCTTTTCCGAATCCTCCCCCCTTTACAAGAACAGAATAGTCAAATGAGATGAAAAAAAGCTTAGCGCAGTGCAACCAGGTCAAGAATCATGAGGCGAATTGGGGAAAAAAAAAAGGCCCAAGTTCAGCATAAAAAGGGCGTGAAAATTCAGATCTGCCCATACATATATCGAATTGAAGCCTGCACAACGTAGAAACTTTGTACGTATCCGTTTGGTTTACACTACGTACCCCTTTTTTGTAACACATCAAGGCACAGATGAGTGTGCCCCCTTGACCATTTTATTTCCCCCTCCACCGTCCTACTCTTATATAATAATTATAATTATGTTTTCTCCTTTTGATAGAAAGGGACAGACAACGATCCAAACGCGTTGTGGTCCCCCCAGCTTGAGCTGCGTCTTTCGTGTTGTATACCACAGCGTGGCGTTGTCGCCATGGGCTCATTTTGTCGTTATTACTTTTTATGCTTTTCGCGCGCGTTCCTCTGGCGCGCTGTTCGTATAACGTATGTGTGTAAATATATGCATACAGATATATGTACATATATATATACATATATATAATTCTACGAATGGGCGTGTGTTGTGTGCAATCATGCACACATGTGTAGACAACCCTTAGTGGTTACCGAATGGGGGGGAAATTCGATTTCGCGTTTCTGTTAGGACCCTCCCCACATCAGAAAGGAGAACATGCCTTTTTTCGCGCATTGCGCTTTCGTGTACACATACATGCTTGTATGTACATATTTGTCCTAATTCGGTTGTTTGTTCATTTTTTTTGTAAACTGTTTGATGCATTATGCACAATGTACCAACTCACCATAGTGTTTCATTATCTAATTCTTTTTTTTTTTTTCCTTCTCATTTACATTAAGAAATATTTTTCCCGTCTGAATTTCAGGCGCGCAGACTGCGCGTTGGCGATTGAAGCGCCAGCCTCATTGATGGGGAGCATTCTCCCGAATTTTCGCCTTTTTTTCCTTTTCTTTCGTTCTCCGCTTTTGTTTTTTTTTTCCCTTTTTAATTTATGTAGCCAATATGATTCCTCCTCGCCGTGGAAAATTAGTGTAAAAAAATGTGATGCAAAGCGGCCCACACCCTTTCCACCTCACCATGTGACAATTGCAGTAGAGGAGGAGATTAAAACAAAACGCGTTACTCAAAGTAAAGAAACAAGGTGAGCCTTAGTTTGATTTACGCTTTAGCTGTTGCCCACGCGCATGCTAGCATTTCTCCTTTGGCGGCTTCTTCTTCTTTGCCGTTGCATGTGCATAGTCTAGTGTGTACCCTTGAAATTGAAACTTTGGAAGAACACTCGCAAATCGAAAGAAGGAGCTGCGCCTTTGAAATTAATGTTTGGAACATAGCAAATGTGACATTAAATTTCATGTGCGGGTCAGGTAATGACGCAAACGCTCTGGCAGAAACATTGTTAACTTAACCGTTTTGTGTACAATTTAGTACGCGCTGCTTTTTGTGTAAAAAGAAAAAAAAAAGGTTTTAAGGAGAGTCCCCACACCCTTCGTTCTGTTAAGGTTAATTCTCTTCAGAACTGCAAATGTGTATGCAACAAAAACTGATAAAGTTACACAAAAAAAGAAAAAAAAAAAATTATGAACATGCCATAAGAAAAAAAAAAAGAAGAAAATAACTAAAATGTGATGAAAAAAAAAAAAAAAAAAAGTTCAGTTAGCTATATGATGTGTGCGCGGCCACATGGTAGAGTTATATTTGTTCTTTAAAATTTTCAACCACATGGAATTTAACCATAGAGCAAATCTTTTCTTGCTCTGTTGTAGAATTTTGAACAATCAGGAAAGGTGAAGAATGGGTACATATATGCATATATATATATATTCAAAATCGCTATTTATTTCTGCCTCTTTTCTTTTTTCTGATTTTTCTTCTTTTTTTGCTTCCTTTTGCACTTATTTGTATACAGGGAAGAGTACTCAACCAACAGTTTTTTTTTATCTCGTTTTTGGAAAAAGTTAACAATTGTATTTTGGTCTCTCTCTTTATTGGAACAAACAACTTTTTTTTTTTGTTCTGTTCAAATTAGAACCTTACAAAATTTATAACTTAAAAAAAAAAAAAACAGTTATATATTGATCCCAAATTCAAAACGCTGAATGGTAACACCGATAATTTTTAAATTTCCAACTTCAGAACTCGGCAATTGTGGCTGTAACTATAGTAATTTGCCGTTAAGTTCGTTCTGTAAAAGGAGGCAAAGTAAAGCCAGATAAGCCACGAAAGAAAAAAAAAACAACAGAAAGAAAAGAAACAAAAAAAACAGAAAAAAACGAAAAAAACAAGAAAAACAAAAAAGCAAAGAAGGCAACAAAAAGAATAAAATTAAAAATTTTCTAACTGAAATTTTTTTTTTTCTGACTTGTTCATCTGATATACACGTAGTTGTTTATTTCTAAAATGAAAATTAAGCCAGAAAAGATAGGCTTTTTTTTTTTTTTTTTTTTTTTCTTCGTTATGAACAACAGCTGTAAAAAATCACTACATAAAACGAATTAACCATTTTGTAGTTGCCTTTTTTTTTTGTATTGTTTAAAGTACCTATTTTGATATACCTATTTGCTCGAATGTTTATGTAGCTTGGTTTTCTTTTTAATGTCACCATTTTGAAACTATATACAAATCGAGTTTTCTAAAAAATACATTTTTCGCCTTCTTTTTGACCTTACACATTATTTTACTGCTTCCTTTCGCTCGATCGCCCATTCGTTCACCGCTTTTATATTCCGTTTTCTCCTCCCATCTTTTCTTCACCTTTTTCTTCCATTTGTTCTTGCCTCTCTTGTTGCCTTTTTTCTTCTCTTTTCCTTCCCTTTTTTTGTCACTTGCAAAGGTTCGAATATTCACCCTTAAGAAAAATGCTTCAAACCAACCATGTGCGTGAAATTTCCCCCTTTCTTAATTTTTAACCGACAATTCAGATTGCGCTTCTGCATGTAAAATTTTGCCCTATAAGTGTATTACCGCACGAAGTTTTTACGTTCACCAAGGAAGTGTAACCCTCCAGTGTGACTTGTCAATAACACTTCGTGTAAACACTTTTCAACGTGTTTGCCTCGATATATACGCACACCTGTAGGAGCCCACATATATATGCGCTAACAGACCCTTATAAGCCTCTTTATGAACACGTATACCCCGACACGTACCATATTTGTGCTCCCTTCAAAAAGAACGTGCACACCGTTTTGGAGAAAACAGACTCTCTAAGCCAATGCAAACTGTTCGGAGCAAGTAACGAAAGTAAACATAAATAAAACGAAGAATCATGAATATCGTCAGTGTGTGTTAAATTGCTGTGTGTGAACTATATCAAGATTTCAGAATTACATAACTGAATTAGTTTGAGAAATGTAGACTTGTGCGTCCTATTGCAGTGCATTATAGTGCTTTCGCGTTAGCGCTCTCTCCACGTTGATGTAGTAGCCCCCCTTTTCTCCTTTCATCCCAATCGTCGGGTTATCCCTGCCACCCTTACCAGTTATCCTTTGAAACTTCTTTTGTTACAACACCGCGTCGATTAAGGCATAGATGGAAAAGTGTACCTACGTCTTGTTTTGTTACCTGTTTCTGCTTAAATATTTCCCGCGCCACGTTTGTGCATATTTATGCTTCAGTGTACATCACATGGCAGCGTTTGTTCCCACGTCACACATGCCCCCGAGTGACACTCGTTCTTGAATCATATACGTAGATGCACTGCCGCTTCTCTGTACTTCCTGTGTCTGCCATAGTCTCGCAGCTGTTTCCCTCACTTGTCAATCCTGTCGTTCTTTTCGATTGTGCTGGAAAACTTCCACGTAGTAATTGCGTCTATGTGAATTTTGTGCAATATGTGGATCCCCGCGTGCACCCATATGTTCACATCGTGATAGGACCACTGATTTTTATCTTCACGGTGTCCCATCTGACACCCCTTTTAAGATTGCCAGACCCACCACCTGTTTTTTTTTTTTTTTTTTT